CATTTTCTTTTTGTTAGTTTTATTTTACTCCCTATTTTCGTTCCTCCCTTCCTCAACTTTAAATTCATTTTCTTTTTTTTTGTTTTTCTTTTCCCTATGAGAAGATGTCTCCAGATTGGCAGTATTCTATTGTAGGGTAGGGGTCAGACGAGTCGTAATTTCTAGTCCTAACTGGATTAGTGCAGCAGGTCGCATTTAGGTACTGTTTGGGTGGCTGGATGATGGTAGACTTATATGTTAAATGATATTCTGTATTTACAAATATAGTTATAAATGATTTAATAAAGTACTATCGTGACTGCTTAAGGGAAAAAAAATAAAAATAAAAAAAAATAAAAAAAATTACAAATAAAAAAGTACTAATAAAAAGACTAATTATAGTAGAAGTAGGTGAAAGACTTAATAAACTGTTAAATAAAAAATCAGTAAATAATTGATAATAAAAACAGTATAGAATATTTTCTATAATCAAATATTAAAAGTTCAATATAAAAAGGTAAAAAGTAAAAAAAAAATTAATATAACAAGTAAAATAAAAAAAGATATTTAGATAAAAAAGAACTTAATAAAAAGAAAAAACAAAATAATAAAAAGAAAAAAAAAAAGATAATAAAAAAGAAAAAAATAAATAAAAAATAAAAAAAACAAAGCAAATAATAAAAAAAACTTGAAAGACAATTAATATGTTTGTTACAAAAAAGGAAAACCTTTTTTAGTATAACTTTAAGTAGTTAGACAAACAATCTATCTCTAACTAAGATAGTACAACAGGTTGCACTTAGATACTATTAGGATAACTGAATGATGCTAGACTTAGATATTAGAAAATTCCACATAATTATATATGTATTTAGTTTTAAAAATTTTAATAAAGTATTAGTATAACTGCTTAAAACAAAAAAAAATAACTAAAATAACTTGCTAAACATTTTTTATTATTACAATATTATAAAATTTTATAATAAAATTTTAAGATCAAACCAGTTTTTTAAATTCTTTTGTAATATTTTATATCAAACATAATTTTTTTGAAATATTGTATTTTGTTTATTTAAAAATAATTATTAATAAAATTTTTAAGCAATAAATTTTGCCAGACCTTTTGGGTTTGTTCACTTTAAATAAACTTAAAATAAACAAATTTAAAAGGTTTGACCAAATTTATAGCTCAAAAATTTTATTAATAATTATTGTTTAAATAAATCAAGTAGAGTGTCACACATGCCTCATAATAATTGTCATTGAGAATAGTTAAAAAAAAAATTAAATCAAGCATATTATTTGTTTTAATAATTAGCAATTATTTTTTAAAGATGTTCAGATTTGACCAGTATGTATATAAGGTGAGTGTAGATATTATGGTGAAGTTAATACTTGCTACTAATAAAGTCTAACAAAAATTTATTTTTTTATAAATTTTTTTTTTAAATTTAAGTAAATTTTAACTTGCTTTACAATTATAATATAAAAAAAACTGAGTTTTATATAAATTATGTGCTGTTATTTAAAAGAATATAATTTTAAATTTTATGAAAGTAAAATGACAAACAATATGCAGATTGATGATTATTAAATTTAAATTTCATTAAGTTTTTGAATATGAAAACTTTATTGATTACCATTACATACTGTTATTATTATTTTTTTTACCAGTATTTTTTCTTTTTATTTCCTCTTTTCAATGATTCGTCTCAGCTTTTTTTCTTTTTTTTTGGCTTTTTTTCTTTCTTTTTTAGTAGTTTTTCTTTCTTTTTCTAATTCATGTGCTGCCTGCTTTTTGATAGCAGCTTCTTTTTCTTTTTACAATTTCAGTTTTTGCTCTGGCTAGCTCTTCTGTTTTCTTCAACTCTTGCAAAGACTTCTCATTTGTAAAAAGTTTGATAAATAGAAGTGTTTTCTTTTTTTTGTAGTTCGGGATTAAAATTAGTACTATTAGATTCTTGTTTAGTGGATTCTTGTTTAGTTGTTTGTGAAGAAAGATGAGAAACAGGATACTTAAGTGTCATTTTTAATGAGCAAGTACCAAAATTTTTAAAAGTCTCTAGTTCTTCACTTATTAACTTATACTTTCATTTCAATGCCTTATTTTCTTTTTTCAAGATTTCAACCTTTTTTTCAAGAGACATAAAATCAGCTTTCAACAATTCTGTTTTACATCAAGTGGTATATTTATGAGTTATTGAAAAGAATATGACAGAATTTGGTTAAAGAGAGAAAGATAAAGATAAGAAATTTTGTTGATTATAATGAGATGAAAATAAGGAATTTGGTTGAGAAGAATAAGATAAAAATAAAAAATCAGCTTATTCCATTGTTAATGAAGAGGCAAGACAATCAAAACTTATTGCATCAGGATTAAATAACCAAATTCCTATAGCTCTAAAGAAATTTTTAATTGTTTCTGAAGTATAAGTTGCTGCAAATGCTGGCCTAAGAATTTTTGCAAATGTGTGCTTGGTTGTCACTTCACCTTTACTATTATGAAGCTAATCACAACTCTTACTATATTCACTTTTAAGTATGACAAAAAGAAGTTCAGAGGGTTGAAGAATGTGAGTCATATGAGAAGGAAGCATATATAATAAAATTCCATTCTTATTATAATATTTTATGCTTATATAGTTAATATGATTTTTATATCCATCAAGCATGAGCAAAACTGGATGAGAAGGGTGAATTGAGCTGACAAAATGCTCAATATACATTTAGAAAAGTGCCTCTCGCATGTATCCTGAATTGGTGAAACTATAACAGAGCCATGTGAGGCACCAGATAATAAATCTGGAATTGCACAAATATCTTTGTAAATAAATAATAAAGGAATAAAATCACTGGCAGCCAAGATTGTTGTTGTAACAGAAATATGATTATGTGAATTTCCTTGCAAGATTTTATGAACTTGATGAGCTTCTTTTAAAGAGTTTGTATCATAAATTCTTAAAATAGTGAGCATAAATGTTATTTTGATTTTTAAGCTTAATTCGAATCAAAAATTAAAATACTACTATTTTGAGAATTTATGATAATAAAATTAACTTATTAGTTATGTAAATTAATAGCATATTTAATTTATTAATAACTAAACTAATTTTTTTTAATTACTAACCTTTTGTTACAAGAACTTTTTAGATTTTGAGAGCAATAATGAAGCCAGTCTCATTTATATTCTAAATACAGTCTGGAGTAAGTGAATATTTTTTAATTATCTTCTCTAAATTATCAAAATAATCTTTTATTATTATTAGATTTGTCCTTTGGGCACATGCCTCTGATAAAGCTTGAAGCATTCAAAAAGATAAGTCTGAATAGTCTTTCATGAAACAATTCCACTAATCTCTTCTAGGCCCTTTAGCTGCAAATGGATGGAAATGATTATCATTATACACTATCTTCATTACATAATGATTCACACCTAATTTTGTTAAACCAAATCCCAACTTCTGCATATTTTTGCAGTAACTCACTAATTGTTCTTCTTTATATTTATTTAAAACTATCCTAGAGCCAGAACATTTGGATAAACCTTTTTTAACAATACACCTAAGTGTTGTCTCTGAAATTCTGAACCTCGAGACAGTTGAATTTATACTTAGATTTGTGGAGCCTACAAGTTCTTTAAGTGCAACTTTAATTGTGATATAACTATCTTTATGACTAAGTCTTATTGTTTTTTTATTAGACATTTTTTTCAATATAATTTTTATTTTTTTCAATTTGACCTTCAAGTTTAATTTTTTTATATATTTGGTTTTAGTCTTTTTAATAATTTTTATTTTTTGGTTTGATAGTTAATTGTATTAGTGAATAAAAGTTGATTTAATTTTTAATAAAAATAATTGTTTGATGAACAAAAATAATTGTGGTTTTATTGATGCTTTGAAAACAGAATCATTGAATTTTGAAGTTTTAAAGCATTTAAATAGCATTCTTTTATTGCAAGATAATAAAAAAACTGTAGCTTATTTTTATTGGATACAAATGACAATTAAAGCATTAATTGTAATCACTAGAAACATTTTACTTTAATTGCACTTTACAAAATTATGCAACTTCATGATTATTAATTTTATTATAAAATGATTTCAATTGTGATTGCTAAAGCTGATCAATTCATTATAAATAAACTCATTAATCAGCTCTAGAAATCACAATCATAATCAATTTAATTAGATCTATAGCAAATGTAAATTTAGAGTCATGTGCATCAATTGTACAAGTTTTTCTAGTGAGCTAATGTTTAGCTTTATGCATGTAAAGATGTAATAAAAATTTATATAGTAGTGTTTTGTTTTAATTTTCTTTTAGAATTTAGCAATCTAATATGAAATTAATTACTGTTAAGTTTTAGATCAAATTGCTAACCATTTTGATATATCAATAATCGAATCTGCATCAAAGTATATAAGTTGTATATTTTTGACGATTATATCAGAGAGAAAAGTTTGAATATATAATAGAAAAGTATACACTATCAAATTTACAATTATGATCACTATTGTTCATAAATTTAATAATCTTCTTATCATGTTTTTTGTCTCCCTGATAAGTCATTCTCAACAAAGAAAAAAATTTAAACAAAAACATTTTGCAGTATATTAAAGTTCAGGCTTATACGATTTCAAGATTTTTTTTATTGTTTGAGTAATGAAACTTTTGAAATCACCAAACACTAATTATAGAATAATTGATAATTAATCATTTCATAAAGGAAAGAATGTTTATTTATAACTTATATAAATTTATTGCTATTAATTCTTAATTAAATTCATCAATTTCAAAAACTTTTAAAAGCATTAACAAATCATATATTTGTCATTGCTTAAACATTTATTAATTTTTTTTTTTTTTAAAAAAAATTGATCTGTTACTGTCTTTATTCAATAAACAAAATGTTACCATCTAGGTATAGCCTTTTATATAAAAAAAAGAGACAATCCATTAAATTATCATATATCATTAAATGTAAAAAGAATACAGAAAAGGTGATGTATTATCAACCAATCTATAAACCTATTATAAATAAAAATTTAATGATTGAAAGAATTGAAATAACAGTTGAAAAAAAAAACTTTAGAAGAAGTTAGTTGTGAACAGAAAAAAAAAAAATCTTATGAAAATAATAAGAATTCTTCACGTGATATAATTATGATCAACTTATTTCATGAAGTAATTAATAAGAATTCTTCACATGATTGGATCATAATCAACTCACCTTAAATCTTTTACGTATAATGAAACTCAAATACCATCTTATATTTATTTGTTAGTTGTTGCATCTCAAATTTAGTCTATGAAAAAATTAGAATTCTTTAAATAAAATTTGAAACTTCTGATTAACAATTTGTAAGTTATAGATTAAATCTGCAATTTCTCTTTATTTAAAATGTAAGTTGATATAATTTTTTCAGTTAGTAATAATAATAAAAGTCAATTTAAATATATTTTTAGAGTTACTAACAAACTTTAGTCAGACCTCTATAAATGCATAGTTATAAATGCATGTTTTAAGTAAAATTTCTCTAAACACACAATATAACTTAGTTCTATTTTATAAGAATTCTATGCATTTGTCTTTTATGTGGGATGAAAAACTCTTGACTAGTTAGCATCACCAACATCTGCACAAAAAAGATTTGGTGGTTGATCTGTATGCAAGTAATTTCATCATACTCGAGACTTGCCAGAAAATGAGACAGGAGTTTTTGGGTTATATAAATACACACCTTCTTTAAATTTACATTTCAATTTTTTTTTTTACTATGATTTCAAGAGTGTGCATTTATGAAAGTCTGACTGCTATATTAAACTTAATTATCATTCTTATATTGGTCAAGGTAAGTTAATAGATCATGCCAACATAGCACAAAGAAAAAAAAAATTTATTTAGATACTGTAAATAAGTAATTGCTAAAAAAATTGCTTAGATTTATAGAAAAGGTTATGACAAATATACCACCTTGGTGTTAGCAAAGAAAAAAAGAGATGAATAGGTGAACGAGTTTGATTTTTGTAATCGTGATTATCGCTATCATAATACGTCCGGTGATGCAGTAATTTACATTGATTTTCTTTAGCTTATAATCGTTTTATACAAAGCAGGATTTTTTATTAAGCAAATCGAATTTTATACACTAAGTAAAGTTAATGAAAATATCGTTTTTTAGATACCTTAAAAGTTTGAAGCGATTTGGTTAACTTTTTATTAATTAACTTTCACATTATATGTTTTGTCATAGTAAATAATTTTTTTGTATCAGGACGTATAACGTGAAAGTTGATTAATGGAAAGTTAACCAAATCATTTCAAAATTTGAAGATATATAGAAAACGATATTTTCTATAGTTTTACTTAGTGGATAAAATGCGATTTGCTTAGTAAAAAAACCTGTTTCCTTGTAATATGTTTAATTCGCCACAATACCCACATTCGCCACAATACCCACACTCACCTTACATGGCACATCACTAAAATAAGTGTATAACTGTTTTGTGCAAGCTATTGGGTTAGAATTTGATTGGTCAATGGTCACGTTTTGATCATCATTAATTTAGGATGTTTTTCTTAGACGCGTTAAATATATTGCTTAACTTTTAAAAAGTTTCTCGAATGAATTTTACTGAGCCATATAAACAATCTTTAAACCTTTGCCGGTTTTCTCCTGATTTAAAACACATTGCAACAGCAATCGAGAATATAATTGTAATCCGTAGTGCGGAAACCCTTAAGGTGTCGCGTGAATTCAAACATCCTACCCTCATACAATGTATAGAATGGTCGCCAAATTCTTCTTTGATTTTAGCTGCAAATCTTAAAAAAGGTGACATTATTGTTCGCGATATAAATGATCCTACATGGAAAAAAGCAATAAAGGAAGGTCCCGCCGGATTACTTAATGTAAAGTGGAATCTCGATGGTAAAAGCATCATGTGTTTCTCAGATTTTGAGGTAAGTTCGTAACATTTATATAAATTTATTGAAAAAAAGACAATGAATATAACATCTTTTCATTTGCTCATTTTTTCAAAGCTTCGTATAACGATATGGTCATTAATAACCAACAATGGATACTATATACAAGATCCAAAATATCACAATAAAGGTAAAATTTGACGACATAGTGACAATAGACATTATTCATGACGCCAAATAATTAATATTCCCTTAAGGATTTTGTTTTCGTGAGGATCCTCCATGGTTCATTTTAGCGGAACGTCGCGAATGTAAAGATTTTATAGGTGTATATAAATGTGATACTGACGATTGGAAATTGTTAAATGTAAGAAATTGAACGCATACCATAAATTTTTATTGTATTTTTTTTTTAATTCTATCATTGTGCTAATTCAAGAATTATCATCAACCATTAGGTGTTCCAAGTTGATACTGTAGACTTAGACAACATAGCGTTATCACCAAATGGTCATTATATTGTAGCGTGGGACAACTGCATTTGGGTAAGTTTTTTTACCTTAATAGAACATTATAAATAATTAAATAACTAACATTAAATGTATATGCTTATTAATACTTTGGTATCTAGTACAAAATTTTGATTTATACATTGGATGGCCAATGTTTGGGAAACTTTTCTATTGATGACGAAGGGCTGGGTGTTAAATCTGTTGCGTGGTCTCCTTCGAGTAAATTGGTAGCAGTTGGGGGTTATGATCAAAAGGTATCATCAAATTAATTTATTTAATCTGCTTAAATGAATTTATCTAAATGCATTTACCATATAGGTCCGTCTCTTCAACAGCTATAACTGGTCACCAATAATAGAATTCATACATGCCAGTCGAATTAAGAACCCTAATAAATTGGTAATAATTAAAAATCTGAATTTTGACATTTAATTTGAAATTAAATAAAGCGGCAAATTATAATATTAGAAAATATGGAAAGAAGAGAACGAGTTCAATAAAGAATATGGTCGAATTATAGCAAAATGTATGTATCATCTTGTTTTCGATTGCATTCATCTTTACTAATTAATCCGTTCTAATTAAAAACATAACAGATGACCTTGTCGATGGGCCTTTAGAGGTTCCCTCAATTTTAATTGAAGCGAAACCAAATCCTAAGTTAGGCATAGGATATTGTAAATTTAACTCTAATGGTCACTTTATAGCTGCGCGAAACGGTAAAACTTTTGATAATATTTTAAACCGTTATTTTCTGTTTGTCTCACTTTGTTTATTTACAGATAACATGCCAAATTGCCTCTGGATATGGAATATCCCACAACTAATGCCTGTCGCTTTAATTATTCAATCGAGCCCGATAAAACACTTTTATTGGAATCCAATTGGGCCGGATCAACTCGTGATTTGCTGTGGGAATGAATATGTGTATTTTTGGTGTGGTCAAGAACTTGGTACAGAAATTATTCAAGTTCCTGTTGGTAATAATTCAAGCATATACTTATTAATGTATCTTGTGCTTAATATTTGATTAATTTATGTGCATCTATCTTAAAACTAGCCAATTTTGAGGTGCATAACGTTCGATGGCGCTCGGACGGTAGGTCATTATTGATTATGGATAAAGCACTTTTTTGTGCTGCCTTTTTTTTGTAAAAAGTGTTAGTGTAAAAGTCATTAGATTTCACAAATATGAAAAATAGACTTTTGATTAATACATTTGTGTAAAAGCCATTAGATTTTACAAATAATATGAAAAATAAACTTTTGATTAAATACATTCATATAATTGGGTTTAAAAGTTTAATTTACATGGCTCAACTAACACTAGATGATTGTAGTATAAATGTACTATCTTTACTGACTTATTACGAATAGTAGTAAAGTATGGTTTAGTAAAGTAGTATAATACCAAAATCGCATTCGAGTATATAAAACTAGCATACTATACTCATCATATATATATACGTATAGTAGAGAATTTATTTATCATTGTAATAAAAATATATCGATGTGAAACAGTATCAAAAAGAGTTTAATGTTTTAATAAAATCAAGATTTTACAAGATCACAAACAAAAATCAAGATTTTTACAAGCTTACAGCCATGTCTTTTATTATACGCAGTGATACAAAAACTTCATACATTAATAAAAAATTATTTGTTAATTTTTTGTAGCGATACAAAAACTTCGTACATTAAGGGTAGAGTAAATGATTTTCAAGATTAGTCTGTAAAATTTTTTGTAGCAGAATGTCAGAGTTTAAATCTAGAATTTTCTATATATAGTCTACCTTGTAAAATTGATTTTTTATATCGTTATAACAGTAGAGTTAACTGTATTATTGTAAGAACCAAAAAAATTATTTTTTATTTAATAATTTAATTAATTATATATAATTAAAGTTTTTTATGCTTTGTCCAATACAGCCAACAAATGAACTGCTTAACAAAACCATGACAAATTAGATCTAACAGTTTTAATTTAGTTACTTCTATAATATGGGCTAGGTGCTGTAAAAAGGATCGAAAACAATAAAAAAAAGATCTTTGAAAAATCAATTTGTATATTATAAATTATAAGAAAATGCAAACTTTAAAAAGCTATATTGCAAAATTTTATTTTATTTTTTGGGTATTAAGGTGAGGTTTCGTTATTTCTTTATTAGTAATTTAAAATAGTTACATGGGTTCTTAAAAGTAGAAATCAGAGAATTTGTCTAATTATGAGTTTTGAGATAATTGTCAAAAACATTTTTGGTACATGAAATTACAATTTAAAAATAATTTATTTATGTTAAACAAATCTGTTTAAATAGGTTTTTTGATTTACAAATTGTTTTTTTAGAATAAAATATATATAATATTTGGGGTTGAGTTCTATAGCTTAGTTGTTAAGCTTTTATTCCTTCATAGACAAGGTCAACAGTTTGAGTCTAGCTAAAGATAAAATACTCTATAATTAAAAATAGAGTCTATAATCAGATGTAAAGTTCTATAGAAACCTAAGTGAAGATACATATTTGATTTAAAGAATTCTCAAAAGAATTCTCAAAAAAAAACCTGTATAACAAAATACAGTCATTATTATAATAAAAAATATGAAAAATATCACAATGTTTGTAAAAAAAATTGATCTTATCTAATATGAAATTATTTTTAATATCATAAATCCAAATAGGTGTAGTTGTAGGATCTATCTTCATTTAGTAGAGTTTGCATTAAAGGTAAAGTAGTTCTAAGGTCTGTTATTAAAATAAGTTAATACATATTACAAAAAAATATTAAAAATCAAAGACTTTAAATAAAAAACTCACAAAAAAGTTTCAAATATAGTAATTAGTAAGTAACCTGCAAGCAAAACCTTTAAATAGATAATAATTAAAGTTGTATGAATGACTAATTATAACTTTATTAATATATAAAATGTAATGCCTCTTATAATATTTATAGATTATAAGTTTTAATAAAGATTATAAGCTATAAATATTATTTTTTAAATCTGAAAAAAATATATATAAAAATAATATATATATATATATTTTTTTATATTAAAGGTAAGAGTTTGAGTTCTATAGTTTAGCAAATAAGATTCTAAACTCTTTATAAACAAGGTTAATAGTTCAAGTTAGGCTGAAGACAATTTTGTTTCTATAACCTATTGGAATCATTAATCAAATATAAAGCTCTATAGAAAAGTTCAAGTGCAAATATAAATTTAGATAAAAGAATTCTCAAAATAAGACCTAATTGTAGAATGCAAAAACTATATATAACAAGCAGTTATTATAAAAAATTACAGTTATATAAAGATTGTGCATATAAGTTCTTCAAAATAAAGTAATATTAATATTTTTATATCTTCTAATATAGGCAGTACTAACATTTTTGCATCCAACTTGTAAAATATTTGCTTAAAAAAATAATCAATAGATTGTATAAATAAGTTCTAATTAAAATCCAAAAAAAGAATTTGATTGAAAGAATAGTCTGAAAATAACTAAGACTAAAATATTAAAAGAAGCACTAAATATTAAAATGACCTATAGTAAAGGATCAGCTTAACCAAAATTGAAAGCATTTTTGGTACAGCCAAATAATCTAAATATAAAAAGAAAATTTTGGAAGATGGCATATAATTTTCTTATATAATATAAAAGCACCAAATTAGGTTCTGGTTATATCTATATAGAAGTCTATAATAAACAAAACTGAGATTAATTAACCGATATAAGATAAAATCTGCAAGATAGTATAATATTATTGGGGTTAATATAACTCTTTAGACATAACCAGAATTGTTCTATAAATATTATTGAATAAGCTAAAAGATTGCAATATATAGTAGTATAATATTACTAAAGTCAAAAAAACTCTCTAGATATAACTAGAATTATTTTATTTGTAAATGCAACAAGTTTTAGTTTCTATTATAAAAAAGAGCATCTTGTTGGAGATTAAATATACATCAAGTTAGTGTATAATATTAAGACTTGAGTCATCTGCAAGAATAGTAATAGCAGATCTGACTTGTAATATGGATTGATCAAAAGACTAATTGTAGCAGCAAATCTGACTTGAGATATGAGTTTATTATAAATTTTAAACTATTATTAGAACATCTTAAAGGAATCAATAATAAGTATACTAAAGATAGAAGTTAGAAAATTTAAACATACTCAAGTAATAAAAAGGTAAGAAATATAGAGAACAAAATATTACTAGATATAGTTAGATTAGGAAATAGAAAAACAAAACCAAGTAAAACATATGAATAAATACATGGATATGATTACAAAAGATAATATTTCTGGCATTTAGAATATTGCATTAAGTTTAATAGATATTTTTGTTTGTGTAGCAATTTAATTATATATATACTCTGATTACAAGTAATTGCCAAAATAACTGCATATAGGCATGTGGCAAATATGCACTTAGATGTCATATAAATAACTAAGTAAACTTAGTAGTATAAAATTAGATAGCAAATATAGTACTAGTAATAATCAATTCTAAATATATAACTGTAAAATTTGTATTATATCAAATTAAGCCTAATAAACTAATTGGCAAAGTCATCAAATTAATAAAAAAAAAATATATATTAAAGATAAGTACTTGCAACTTAGTCTTTTATTGATAATATATTTTAGCTTTATGATTGTATTATAATAGCTATAGAGAGCAATTATAAAAAGGATATACAACTAGTTATTTATACAACTTAAGTCATTGTTTAATTTAAGTAGTCTGTCTAAAGGTTTTATATTAGTTGCTATATTTAGAATCTACTTGTAAGTTTTCTATTTAAATATTCTAATTTCTGTATTTATATATCTATCTATCTTATTAACTATTCTAGTTTTTATCAATGCAAATATACTATAATTACTAGGTCTTTAAAGTAGTTCACTTATACAAAGAACCTTTGTTCTTGTACTAAATATACTAAAGACTTCTGTTACTCAATTTTCAGCTAATCCAGTATCACTATAATACTTGTAATTAGAGTAACTCTTAAATCACTATATTCTTGTAGAGTTTATATAACTCCAGTATTCCTTTTTACAACTTTACTAATATCTTGTATGTTTTTGCAAGTTCTTTTATACTATCAATCTAGTTAGCTTTATATAATATGACTTCATATTCAGTTTAACCAATAGCCAGATTGACAGACTTCTTTATTTAGAATTCTTGTCTGTACAAATTATCTGCTTTAGATTTCTGTCTTTAAATCAAGATTTTTACAAATAATGCTATCAAAGATTATACTATCTCTCTATTTAGAATTTTTAAACGAGGATGGTAATCCTAGTATAGTAGTTGGATTGTCATCCTCCAAATAGCAGATCTAAGGTTCAAATTCCACCTACGATGAAATTTGGAAATTAATCTGTGTTATGGCAAACTGTCTCTTGATGATCAGTTGGATTTGTGTATTTGTAACCTTAAGTTGCATCATCTCGAATGGGAGCTCGGACCATCTATGCCAAGTGTAATATTACATGTATATAGAGGAATGTTAATAACCAGTGTTGCATAAGACTTCGGTGCAAACCCATGATAAGACCACCAGGCACAGTAAACTAAAAAACTGAAGAGTTAGAAGCCTACTTGGAAATTTCCAAGTAAAGAGGTAGCATGAACTTTTGATGGTATAGTCAGACCGATGGAAGTCTATGAAACACCCCAAAGAAATAGGCAGATAAACCAGATGTTAAGATGTATAAAAGAGCATATGACCAATCAGGCTGCCAGAATCGCCAGAGGAAAAAGATATATAAGTATACTATACTAGGCTATCT